GGGCGCATGAGGGCGGGGCCCCACCACTGTATCCTCTGAGACTATTAGGGAGTCAGCTATCAGAGGTCCTCAAACTTGAACCTGCATCAGCATCGACCAGAAAACTTAAAACACATGGCTGGGCCCCACCCTAAAGCTGCCAATGCCATACGCTGCTGGTGGGACCTCAGTGTTCTTGTTTCCAACACTTCCCAAGCCTGGGGAACCACTGCCTACCTCCCAGGGTCCCTGTAAGGATCTGAGTGAATCCCTTCAAGAGTCTGCCCTGGTGCCTGACCCACATGGACCGACATTCAGTGAATACACAGGAGCTGTTCTGGAGTCTCCGGACACCATCCTACCCACCCCCAACTGTCTGCCACGCTAGAAGCTCCTGTTCCTGCACAGGCCTTAAAACTGAAAATCAAGTTAACCCCGGGCCAGGCATGCTGGCTTATGCCTGTAATTCCAGCACTTTGGGAAGCCAAGGAGGGAGGCTCACTTGAGCCCAGGAGTTCAAAATCAGCCTGGGCAACCTAGCAAGACCCCCATCTTTACAAAAAAAAAAAATTTTTTTTTTAATTAGGTGGGTGTATGCCTATAGTACTAGCTACTCAAGAGGCTGAGGCAGGAGGAGCGCTTGAGCCAGGGAGTTTGAGGCTGCACTGAGCCATGATCGCACCTCTGCACTCCAGCCTGGGTGACAGAACAAGACTCTTGTCTTAAAAAAATAAAATCTGTAACTAGTTTGGTTTTCAAGGACAAGAAAACACATTCATTCATCTTTACTAAGTGCTAAATACTCTGATAACTTGTCTACATTTGTGGATTCTTTAAACTTACATTACTTAGTCAGTGACTTTCAGAATTAGAGGGACCCTCAGACTCAGCTAGCCCAGGCTAACCCTTTCATTTCCCAGTGGGAAACCTGAGGTCCAGGGAGGAAGGATGCAGCTCATCTTCAGGCCACAACCAAACACGGGCAGTCACTCCCCACCCACCACATCAAACTCCCCAAGAGCTTTAGGCGAAGACTTAGCCATGTCAGGTTACGACGTGGTCAGCGCTGCTTTCAGGGTCCCTGAGTGGAACGGTCAGGTACTGTCACAAGCTTGCAGCGTGCCAGAGAACACAGTTGGGAATAAAACTGGCAGAATGGTAAGGGAGTTCTGTCAGATGATGATCTAAAAGTTGAGTAAGGAGTGATTCACTCTACTTTCAAGAGAAGCTTAGGCCATTTTAGATGCAGACAATTAACAGCACACTAACTTTAATGGTGGCCTCATTAAGTGTTATTACAGAGCACAGCCCTGATTTTATCTGTATAGCATGTTGAGTAAAATGTGATTGCTAGAAGCATTCAGACTAAACTTCATTACAGTCACTCACCCACTGTTGCCGCTATTGATTATAGTGTGAAAATTCAATGGCGTTGAAGCATTTCCAACAGCTCATCTAGCAGTAACGAATCTTAGGAACCAGGCCCATCTCGTCATTGTAATGTCTCTTTCACTAGGCTGTAGTTGCAGTGTCCTGCTATACACTTTAATAAATATCAAGTCTAATACCCGCTTTACGGATCTAGTATCATCTCAGTGCCTGAAAACATTCAAGATGCTGTACTAAAGAACTGTGTGACTTTGTATACCTTCTCTGGTTCCTTTACTATGTTGTATGAATCACAAAGGCTGGACTAATGCAACTAGAAGGGAAAAGGAGGATTTTTTAAAACCACCATTACTTCCCATAGCAAATGCATACACATGCCTGCAGGCTGACTATCTAATCGTTGTTCAACACAATCATGAAAAAGTTTGTATTTGCCTTTCAAAAATATTCTATATATTTAAGCTGTCTTGACAAAAAAAAGATATACTTAAGCTTTCTTGACAAAGTTTACAGATGAAAATTGTGCGTGTTTAGCACACTAGGCCCCAAACTCTTCTATTGTGCACCCCAACTAAAACTTTTGAGTACCTCCACTGTGTAGTTAATACAGAGTGCACCACAGTACTAATAGGGTATGTATGTTATAAAAACACATAAGTTTTAAATAAGTAACAATAGGAATGATATCTAAGTCTTTTTGTTCACCAAGGTATTAATTTTAGTGAAAGCAATGATTGTTATACTTTGCTATAACAATTTCAAATCTAGTTTTAAGTTTGGCACTTGATTTTAATAATTATCACAGCTAAAAGGTTCTTAAGTGGTATGTTTAGAATTTGCTTCAAAAATCTCCAGCAAATAAAGGGTGAGAATAGATGAAACAAGATTAGTAACATATCAGTACCTGCTCAAGCTGGGTGATAGGACAGAGCCCCACTACTGATTCTGTTATACTTTTGAGTATGACAGAAAACTTCCACTACGAGGGTTTTTTTTTTTTTTAAGACCCCTTGCAAAGATAGATGTGGACAGAAGCATCTGAACAGTCCCCCAATCTTTGGCTGTGCTTCCTATCTAGCCAATGTGAAGTTTTTGCTGAAAAATCGACCAAAACTTTCCATCTTTCTTGGTATTCTGGTCGTCTTTGTTCTTGCCAAGTAATTAGAAGGGATTATTAACAAATAGATTCAGGCCGGGCGCGGTGGCTCAAGCCTGTAATCCCAGCACTTTGGGAGGCCGAGGCGGGCGGATCACGAGGTCAGGAGATCGAGACCATCCTGGCTGACACAGTGAAACCCCGTCTCTACTAAAAAATACAAAAAACTAGCCGGGCAAGGTGGCGGGCGCCTGTAGTCCCAGCTACTGGGGAGGCTGAGGCAGGAGAATGGCGTGAACCCGGGAGGCGGAGCTTGCAGTGAGCCGAGATCCGGCCACTGCACTCCAGCCTGGGCGGCAGAGCGAGACTCCGTCTCAAAAAAAAAAAAAAAAAAAAAAAACCAAATAGATTCAAAGCCAACTGAGACTCTTCCTAAGCATCTTAAATAGGTAAGGATATTCTGAGTTTTTATGTTACTGATACCTTACAGGTCAATGTAACTTTCACCTAAAATGGAAGCATTTCCCAATGGACATCTGAAAATAAGCTCATTCCTTACACTGATTTCAAAACACAACTGTTTTCTCACATAAAGTTTCCTCTTTTCCTGGAGATGGTTTTTTAATGTCTACTAGGTATGCTACTGAGAGCCACTGGTATTGGAGGAAAATCAAGAAATTAAAAAAAAAAAATTTTCTTTTTTATATGAAGTCTCGCTCGTATCACCCAGGCTGGAGTGCAGTGGCGACACCTCGGCTCACTGCAAACTCCCATCTCCTGGGCTCAAGCAATTCTCCTCAGCCTCCCGAGTAATTTTTGAATTTTTAATAGGGACGGGGTTTTCCCATGTTGGCCAGGCTGGTCTCAAACTCCTGACCTCAGGTGATCCGCCCGCCTCAGCTTCGCCAAGTGCTGGGATTACGGGCGTTGAGTGAGCCACCAGACCTCGCCCAGAACACTTTTTAAAAGGAAAATGCGTAACATTCTAGGACAGCCTGTGTAAATCTTGTTTCCCAAACCAGTGAATCTGTGAATTCCAATACACTAAATGTTTGAGATGACAGAGATGAAGCCTCCCAAAAAGCCACTAAACACCGATAGCTAGGAAATGGGGGGATGGGGAGAACGGGGCTCCGTGCTGGAGAAGGGTGAGAATAGGTTTGCAGCACCCTAAGCCTAAGTAAACAACTCATTCCAGAGAAACCAAGACAATCCCTGTCCGGGGATGGGGAGCGGGGGCGGGAGGGGAGCCAGCGGAAATGCGGAAACGGGGGAGGGACCTATGGACTACTGAGGATAAAGGGCCAGCCTTGATAACTGCTTAACGGGCACCTTCTTCACCTTCCTCACTACTCGCTCACCCACAAAGGCCTCAGCCAAGTATGGTCAAGAGCAGCTGCCAAAGCTTTGAAAACATCCAGTGCGCCTGCCCTACCATGTGAGTTCCGCGTCGGGAGCCTGACAGTTCTACTCCTACGAGGCCTGACCCTCATCTGCAAAATGGGAAAATACTATTGTGTTGCCTCGGAGGCCTCCCGGAATTAGTCTACCTGCAGGAGTAATTTGATGTAAAACGTATTATTTGGGGGACTGTTCAGTAAGATTGTCTCGTCACCCTGTAAAAGCAGGAAGGTTAAATTTTACAAGGTAATGTTAAGGCTTATTAATAACTGTAAGCAATTTGGCATAAAGCCAAAACGGAGGAACTAATTCTCTAATAAGACATCTGCTCTATTCTACAAAGACCTGGTCCAACTACAGTCACCAGACACCACACCAGGGTCCTCACCTCGGGGCTTTCATTCCCCCAGGGCCTTCATTTGAGGAACTGGAAAACGAAGGAAGTGGGGAAATGGACTACCCAAGTTTACACACCACTTAGCATCTACTAAATCTATCAGACTCTTTTTTTTTTTTTTTTTATTTCTTAGTACAGACGGGGTTTCATCGTGTTAGCCAGGATGGTCTCGATCTCCTGACCTCCTGATCCACCCGTCTCGGCCTCCCAAAGTGCTGGGATTACAGGCTTGAGCCACCGCGCCCGGCTAATCAGACTCTTACATTTAGCTTGTTAAAGTCCACTTAACACCTAACATGAATTTATGTATAAAAAATTCAACAAATCTGACGGAATGGGAAGTGGAGGTGTTGGTTTAATGGATAATTTCAGTTCTACAAGATGAATGAAAAAGTTTCAGAGTTCTGTTTCCCAACTTTGTAGACATACTTAAGGCTACTGAGCTGTAAACTTAAAAATGGGTACTATGGTAAATTTTACATATATCACAATAAAAAAAAAGTACCAGGTATATTTTTAGTTTGAACCATGCAAAAGTGCTAATATTCAGCTACTTCTGCAGCATCATGTGATGACACTTGTACCCCTGAACACAAGCGGAGCCTCACAGGCATCAAGCTTGCTGGCGCACACACCACTCCTGCTGAAACCCTCCGGCCCAACACAGGACGCCACTGATAGTGAAGACAGCTGCGCATCCATGAATCCGGAATTTTGAAAAACATAACTGAAACAGAGTACTGTGAATATATATTTTATTTAGTCACTTTTGTTTACAATTGAAACTCTGGGAATTCAAAATTAACATCCTTGCCTGTGAGCTTCTTATAGACACCAGAAAAAGTTTCAACCTACAAGAAAAGAAAGAATTCATCACAAAACTCTGAAATACACACTCAGCTTAAAACCTAATAGTTTCATGAAATTGTGCCCTGTATGGTCTTTCTCCTCAGCAACTAAGTACTGAGAAGATAAGGAATATGCACGACATGTCCGTAGCAGTCTTATAACCATGGACAAGCTCCTCTCCAATGTTGTGGGACAGGACTCTACACCAATGCACCGGGAAACCACCAGGGGACCCCACCAGTCACCCACATGGTTATGTCCCCCCAAGACACTGATCTATCACCATCCACCCCTAACTCACCAAGAATATACAGCCTAACTAAAAGACTACCGAATGAGCCTACTTCCAAAAGGTACAGAGAATTTCAAGTGTTCAATTCTTTAAATTCTCCATTTAAAACGTGACACATAATCCAAAGTAGAGCAGGCTGAAGTGCGGGTAAAAGAACTAGTCCTGAGTTTACTACAGTCATTGCTCTGGTGGCACATGGAGACTGGTAACTCTAAAATCTACTCTCACTGTGGCTGAACCTGTCCATGATAAATGTCGACCTATTACCTTGTGTTCCACATTGTTCTGCTGTGCTTTGTCCAAATGAACCTTTATGAGCCGGCTGCCATCTAGTTTCACGCGGATTCTCTTGCCCACAATTTCGCTTGGGAAGACCAAGTCCTCAAGGATGGCATCATGCACAGCTGTCAGAGTACGGCTGAAAGAATAGTTAAAAAGGTAAGCAACACAGAATGCCTGCCCTCTCAACTCCAGAAGGCACCTCAAGTCAAAATGAAAATGTAAAACCCAGGTTCCTCAAGTCAAATTAACACTCATTTTCAAACAAGCTTGTTATATTTCACGTACCACACTAAAGCCTTTGCCTACCTAGAATACGGTAATAGCTTATTGACTTATTTCAAAAGCTCCGTCAATTTTAAATGTTACTCTGGGGTAAACGACAAACTCATCAAGGCAGTAAGTGACCATCTCTAGGGAATGTGAGTAGTGATGTCTTTTATACATCTTTATTTTCACTTGTATCATTTCTCAACTAATTCACTACAATAACCTTAACATTCTTGCTCATCTCCAAAACCACCCCCTTCCAATGTCAAGATAATCTTTCTAAAAAATTGATATAATCACATAATTTACATAAAAGACTCTTCAAGAGCTCTCCTAGACCTCCAAGATATCTTCCAAACTCCTTGTTCTCTAGGATCAAATGAGGCAATCTTCCGCCCCCAGGCACTGTTCTATCACCAGCTCTAGGATAGCTGCCCCTCCCCGCACATGTGGGTCTTCAATTTCTAACCCATCAGCATCACGAAAACTGCCAGTGGAATCTTGCTCCTCATCTGAGTATCACTATCAAGTTCAAAACCTACCTACCTGCCACCCAACAAATGAGAAGTTTCAATTAATTGCAAGCTTTTGGGGCAGCTACCATGTACCATGAGACATCAGGAGTAAGTCAAGAGACAGCTCTTTGTTTCGGCATTTATGGAGCTGCCTTGTATACGGTTATCTGTCTAGGTCTCACCCCACTGTAGCTAACAATGACACTATAGTCTACTCATTTGGATTTCCTATCTGGCAGCGCCCATATACACAGTTAACATCTTCTGGTGGCTCTCAATTTTACTCCCAACATCTGTTCACAGCCACAAAGGGCAAAAACTTGAAGAAAGTCCATTTCCCAAAACCCTCATCACCTTTCAGAAAGCAAATCAAGAAAAATGGATTGTTCACTGCGACTCATTCATTAAGCATATTCTTACAATACTAGAAAAGCACCCAAATATGGAAATTAGATTCCAAAGTTATCTACAAACTCTTAAAATGGGGAGCAAAGGAACAACTCAATCATCACAAACCACAGGGACTGGAGCACTTCAGAGGAAAAACCCTGCTATACCCCAAAACTGTATCAATTTCAGCATTTAACCTGAGACAGCTCTACCGAATAGGGAAAATAAATCGGAAAGCAGGAAGCCAGATTGGAAAAAGTGGAATCACTATGACCTACCAGCTAGGCTTAGCGCGGACGAGGGAAGGCTTTCAACAGACTAGGCCCCACTAGAAACACTGAAGCCACTGTCTGAGAAAATTTGGAAAACAGACGTTTGTACTGAGGGGAATTAAAGCTATGGGTTTGAGGAACAGTCCTTTGGCTGTGTGGAAAGCAAAGCGACTGTTTTTATACTCGTTTCCTAACTCAGGTTCTCAGAACTGAGTTTCCAAAACCCTCCTTAAGTGTCATGATTTAGGGAAAAAAAAAATCCTAAATTCTTATGCCGCTCTGTCCATAAAAGTTTTTCCAAGTACTAAGCCATAGAATTCAAGTTCTACAAAACCTGGCACCTACCTTTCCACATACCACAGTTCAATACGGTAACACATTGCTAGATTCCCAACACTATTTCCTAGTGGTTTTCAAAACAAGGCTGAGTTTAAAAAAACAAAAGAAAATGCCGCCCACGGTGGCTCACACCTGTAATCCCAGCACTTTGGGAGGCCGAGGCAGGTGGATCACGAGGTCAGGAGATCAAGACCACCCTGGCTAACATGGTGAAACCCCGTCTCTAATACAAAAAATTAGCCGGGCTTGGTGGTAGGCGCCTGTAGTCCCAGCTACTCGGGAGGCTGAGGCAGGAGAACGGCGTGAACCCGGGAGGTGGAGCTTGCAGTGAGCTGAGATCCGGCCACTGCACTCCAGCCTGGGCGACAGAGCAACACTCTGTCACCAAAAAAAAAAAAAAAAAATTCTTAGGATTACTAGTATTAGCTACAATGAGCAAATTATCCCAGCCTTGAATCAGTTTTCTCATCCACTAAGGATAACAATACAAATTATACATTTCACAGGGTATAGGCATAACTAGAATTTTTTTTTCTTAAACTCATCCCTAGGTAAAAGTCCACAGGGATTTAATAGTTCACATTTATAGAACAACGTACTAATCAGAGACTAACAAAATACCAAAAGATCTAGTTTAAGAAGACAACTACCAATATTTCAGTTTATGCCAGATAACCTGTAAGTCAATCAAGTTCATAAATCATTTTCCATCAGCATCAGCTGCAATGATATTTTAACCTGTGATGTTATCACCCAAATCCACCTACATTTTTTACTTCCAATCCACAGCAAAAATAAAAATCAAAGATAAATCCAAGCTCACGTCAACTATGTCTAGCAGGCTTTATCACACAGAATTAAAATAATGATTTCCGTCTCATCATTCCTATCCTGTGCACACATAATCGGAGGAAATCATCTCATCTTGTGACAGCACTGACCTACTAGACATACAATGGCTACGTGAATACATGTATGTTTTACATCTAGAATTCTAAAACATACCATGTGCAAGTATAGAGGAAAGCAAATACTGCTACTCAAAAATTCCCACTTGAACATCTGTTTCTATAAGCTATAACTTACACAAATTAAGAGTTGTTAATAAGAGGAGTACACACGTTTCTGAAACTACTAAAATACTCACCTCCTGGGACGCTTCTGTTTATTTTTTGTACGGCTTTTTCGAGTTGGCTTAGGCAGAATTCTCCTCTGTAAGGTAAAAATTATCATGCAACAAAATGAAAAAAGACCTTAAATTGACAAAAAACTAAAACTGTCATACTGCTTTAAAAGCAAGAATGGCAGGGTAAGTTCAAAGTTCAAGAAAGCTAAACAACTCAGATCCTGAGGAAACCATTCTATGGAGTTACTTGCTGATTCTTGACTCATTCATTCAGAATCCACAGCCTCTACCAATATGCCAGCGGAAAAAAAACCTCCCAGACACGCCTTTCCCCATGCCTACTGAGCCAGAATACTACTTTTATTCCTGATCAATCCTGGCACTTCATTCCCCAAAGACTTCAGCTTGCACCAATGCCAGATCCGAACTGTAACAGATTTCTTAGTTTGATCATCTCTGTAAGCAACCCACTAGACTTGTAGAATTTTAAATCTGGGAAATCATTTTCGTAACTCAAAACACAGCAGTCTGTCACTTCACAGATTTGTTTCGACTCCTAAAGAGTGCACTTCGTCTTTTAAAAACTTCTTATTTTTCTATTTTTTGTAGACAGGGTCTCACCATGTTGCCCAGGTCACTGAGTGATCCAACCACCTCCACCTCCCAGTGCTGGGATTACAGGCGTGAGCCACCACGCTCCGCCTGTACTTCTTTCTGCCCATTTGGATTCCTAAAAGGATTGTTTTCATGACTCCAACTACCAATGCGGTCTAAATACAAGCAATTTTAGCAAAATTCACAAACAGAAACGTGCTGCAACAGAACAGATACCTGAGCGATAAAGACAACATGCTTCCCACTGAACTTTTTCTCCAACTCGCGTACTAGCCGGACTTGGATTTTCTGGAAAGATTTCAGTTGAGGAACAGGAACAAAGATTATGATAGCTTTCCGACCACCACCAACTTCAATTTCCTAAAGAAAAAAAAATCTATTTGTTAATTGCTTCAGAAAGCAAAAAAAGTAAACATTGTGGTCAAATTAGAGACTAAGAAAACCTTATCACTAACACCATAGCTGCATTACAAACTAATAATAGTTTTGAGTTAATGATATATGCACCCTTCGGAGATGTCCTCATCTCTCCCCAACATTCACATTTCCTTATTCCAGGAACGGAGACTGTCCAGGCCAGGAGACCAATCACTGCCACTTCTGCACCCCCGCATGCGGCAACTCCGGGCAAAGTGTAGAGAAGTCTGCATCCTGGGAGCTCCCCATAGCTCTTCGCTGTATTTATAACTAAGTAAGGGCAAGTAAGGTCCGAAACCGGCCCAGGCCCTCTCTACTCCACGTTTCTCCACCCACCGCACGTGCACAGCTTCAACTGCAGAGTACCTGCAACCCCACTCCCGCACCTGGGGATATCACTGGCAAACAGCACGGCGGAACCTGAGTTCAGGTTAGGCAGCCAGGCGGCAAGTCGTCCTCAACCGTAACCCGGGTCATCTAACAACCCTCCCAGGCACTGCGCGCTGAGACGCGCCGCACCTCCCTCCCAGCCGAGGGGCGCCAGCTTACCTTGGCTGCCGTAATATTCAGCTCCCTGAGCTGAGCCTTGAGGTCCGAGTTCATCTCCAGCTCCAGAAGAGCCTGAGAAGCAACGAACAGCAGGGCCGACCCTCAGCGCGCGTCCCAGCAGCCCGGGCCCAGCACACACGCGACCGCCTTCCCTCCCAGGCGGGGCGCCTCCACCCGCCCCAGACGCCAAGGAAACCCTGTCACCTGGGAGATGCCGGACTCGAACTCGTCCGGCTTCTCGCCATTGGGCTTCACGATCTTGGCGCTCGAACTGAACATGGTCTTCTCCTGGGAGAACTGAAGGCACAGCGGTCAGCGTTACGCGGCCGGGCTGCGGGCGCCGCCGGCTCGCCCTCCCGCCCCCACCCCCCGGCCAGGCCCCGCTCGCCCCGCAGAAGCCATCGGAGGACACGGGGCGGGTAATCGGCTGTATCCCCACCCGGTGAGCAAGGCCCGCCACTCCAGAGCCTGACTCCAAAAGGCGCTTTCCTCAACGCAAGAAGAAAAGTTCGGCCCAAGAACGGGCCGCCAACCTACCTCGCCGAGCGCCGGCTTAGGAAGAGGCCCAAATCTCGCGAGAGCACGTCAAACTCTGGCGGCGGAAGGGAAGAGGCGTAAACAGCGCGAGGAGAAGGGCGGAAACCGGAACATCACTGAGAAGCGGTAGAAGGCTAGACAGTCCCAGGAAGCGGCTCCGGGGACGAGTGTCTTGGTAACGCTTTTCCGCCGTAGGTTTCGTACTTTGGTGCCGTTTCCGAGCGTTCCGGTGCCGGCTCCCAAGATTCCTATCTTCGATGCATGTTGCAGGCGGGAACTGGCCTCGTCCCAGCCCTGGGTCTGGACGAGAGAAGGAGGCCGAAGAAAACCAACTTCGGCAACCTCCGGAGACAGGACGATTAAAAAAGGCTAACTTGGCTGGGCGCTGAGGCTCACGCCTGTAATCCCAGCACTTTGGGAGGCCGAAGCAGGAGGATCACTTGAGCTCAGGAACCAGCTTGGGCAACATGGCGAGACCCCATGTCCACCAAAATAAATACATAAATTAGCCGGTCATGGTGTCACGCGCCTGCAGGCCCAGCTACTCCGGAGGCCGAGGCGGGAGGATTGCTGGAGCTGAGAGGTCGAGGCTGCAGTGAGCGGAGGTTGCACCACTGCGCTCCAGCCTGGGCGACAGACCAAGACCCTGTCAAAAAATAAATTTTAAAAAATTATGAGGCCTTCGCTCTATGCTAGTACTGTACTAGGTGCTAATTATTAAGTAGAACAGACTGAACTCTTGCCCTCATGGAGCTTACAGTTTAGTGGAGAAGACATTACATAAACAGTATGACTATGTAATGACATTGTAATAACTTACATAACAGTAAAATGAGAGGTTGGGGAGGGATTATTTATGCTTTAAGAAGTCCGGAATCCTGGAACACAGAAGAGCCACAGGGTCTATCGCCTGGGGAAGAGCATTCCAGACAGGGAGAAACTCGTGCCGGAATGATCCCGGTGTGGACAGGTAATTTAATCTGAGCTTCAGTTTCCTCTTCTGTCAAATGTCAGGCAAGAGTTACTTTCAGCCGTGGGCCAGGCACTGTGAAAAATGCAGAAACATTACACTAGGTGCCCTCTCAGGATTCCAACCTTTACTACAGAGGTGGTGTTCATCTCACATTTTTTTTTTTTTTTAAATTTCGCCACTAGTCAGTGCCACTTCACTCACATTGGTTCCCATCTCCTCCCACCCCGGTATCTACTACAGGCCCGAGGTGTTTTTTTTTTTTTATCGGTTTCACCTCAGCAGATTCGATCTTGACTCATATGCCATCTCCTCCAAATCTGGATACAGCTGAGCCCCGCCCGCCTCATCTCACATTTTTAATGCTAGGTATGCTCCCGCCCCATGCTTCTCTAATAATGTTTTTTAAAAGGCAAGTGACTATCTCCCTGGAAAATTAAGGATAACTTGAAATTTCTTCCTAATAGAAAGGAAACTACAGCTGCGTCTACAGTCTCATCTGGGCGGTCATTCTGAGGCCCCTTGTCGAACTAGATCCATTTCCTTACCCCACATGCACTTTTCAGCCTGGCTTTTATCTCTGCTGCTCTATAAAAGTAGTAATCTAAAAGTTCATCCAGTAAAGCTCTTTCTCTGTGAACCTGTCAATGGAGAAAAAAAATTAAAGTTATTTCTGGTTTCCAGTCCTTTGTTGAATAGGAGTGGTGAGCAAGGACATCCGTGCCTTGTTCCCCATCTTAGGGGAAAACAGATTCAGTCTTTCACCATTAAGTATAATATTAGCTCTAGGTTTTTTGCAGATTTTTTTTTTTTTTTTTTTTTTTTTTTTTTTTTTTTTTTTTTTTGAGACGGAGTCTCACGCTGTTGCCCAGGCTGGAGTGCAGTGGCGCGATCTCGGCTCACTGCAAGCTCCGCCTCCCGGGTTCCCGCCATTCTCCTGCCTCAGCCTCCTGAGTAGCTGGGACTACAGGCGCCGCCACCGCGCCCGGCTAATTTTTTGTATTTTTAGTAGAGACGGGGTTTCACTGTGGTCTCGATCTCCTGACCTTGTGATCCGCCCGCCTCGGCCTCCCAAAGTGCTGGGATTACAGGCTTGAGCCACCGCGCCCGGCAGAATGAGCCTTTTCTTCTAAAAATGCTGATAGTTTTTTTTTTTTTTGAAAAATAGTATTGGAGACCAGAATTTTGGCAGCAGGAAGCATCGTGGGGATCCTCGTAAGCCATTTCAGCGGACAGAGCTTAAAAAGATGCATTTAAAATAATGTTTTCATAAAAGATACAAGTTCACATTGACATTCTCGATCCACTTCTAACAGAACGATTCCTTCTGAAATCCTCGATTCTATCATAGCATCTCCTTTTCTCCTGTAATAAAAACCTTGATTCCTAAACACAAAAATACAATTAACTTGCTTTATCTGACACTATGAGAGAATACATTCAAAATAACAATTCAGGCAGGCTGCAGTGGCTCACACCTGTATTCAGGCGGGCCTCAGTGGCTCACACCTGTAATCCCAGCACTTTGGGATCATCCACCCCACCCAGGGTGGGTGAATCACTTGAGGTCAGGAAATCAGCCTGGCCAACATAGTGAAGCCCTATCTCTACTATAAATAGAAAAATTAGCCAGACCTGGTGGTGGACGCCTGTAATCCCAGCTACTTGGGAAGCTGAGGCATGAGAATCGCTTGAACCTGGGAGGCAGAGGTTGCAGTGAGCCAGGATGGCACCACTGCACTCCAGCCTGGGCAACAGAGTGAGACTTTATCTCAAAAAACAAAAAATCAATATATGTATATTTTTGAGACAGGGTCTTGCTCTGTTGCCCAGGCTGGAGGGCATTGGCATGATCACTGCTCACTGTGGCCTCAGCCTCCCCAGGCTCAGGCGATCCTCCCATCCCAGCTTCCCAAATACCTGGGATTACAGGTGTATGCCATGAGGCCCAGCTAATTTTTTGTATTTTTTGTGGAGGGGGTTTCACCCTGTTGCCCAGGCTGGTCTCGAACTCCTAAGCTCAAGCTATCCACCCACCTCAGCCTCCCAAAGTGCTGGGATTACAGGCGTGAGCCACCACATGCAGCCTAACAATTCAACATTAATATAACCCATACAATTACTTAATAAAATTCAAAGATTTCTAGTGAGATCTGCAGTCTGTATGCATTTTCCACAGTTTACTCATCATCTCTTACTCTGCTGTCTGTTGGTTCTCTGATAGTTTGGGTCAAGAGTTTCAGCTTGTTTTCAGTTTGAGGATTAAGTTTACAAAAGCAGATGGCTTTCAGCTACTAGAAGAGAGAAGGTGCTATTCTACCTTTCAATGATGGAAAGACTCAACAGCTCAATCTCCAAAATTATTTAAATGGACTCATTTAGCTACCATCTGGAGTTATCCATCCACAATAACCCAGTACATAATCGCACAGAAATAACTGCTAACTGAACTGCCCACTGCCTCCTGCTTTTACATTTCTAGGATGATCAGAACTCAGGTGTTTCACATATTCATAAAAATCTCTAAATATCCTAACTCCCGTTTTGATCTTTCAAGTTTTATAGTTTTCTTGATGTTCATATAAGCTACAAGTTGTCTTTCACTTTATACTATTCAATGTTCCTTTCCAGTCTAACATACATGGTCATACCAAGATCTGCAGTGTGCCAGCCAAATGATTTGCCTAATGTTTTGATCTTGATAATTCCAAACTCCAATTGCTGGGATTGAGCAAGGTACTCATTGTAGGGAGGAAGAAACGCACCCTGAGCAACTGTGGGGCCTCTGCTAAGGAGGTGTTAGGAAACACGAATAGGACTCGGTTTTGTGTCAGGAATTTGGGGGAGGGCTTGAGAAAGGGGGGCTTTGCTTAGCATTGGAGGGGCCTCTGCTAAGGAGGTGTTAGGAAACACGAATAGGATTCGGTTTTGTATCGGGAATTTGGGGGAGGGCTTGAGAAAGGGGGGCTTTGCTTAGCATTGGAGGCCTGTCAAAGAGGAACCGATAGGATTCGTTGTATCGGTTGGGGGGTTGGGGGTTGCTTGTTGGTTGTAAAGGATTTTTTTGTTTTTTTTTTTTTTTTGAGACAGAGTCTTGCTCTGTCGCCCAGGCTGGGGTGCAGTGGCCGGATCTCAGCTCACTGCAAGCTCCGCCTCCCGGGTTTAGACCATTCTCCTGCCTCAGCCTCCCGAGTAGCTGGGACTACAGGCGCCCGCCACCTCGCCCGGCTAGTTTTTTGTATTTTTTAGTAGAGACGGGGTTTCACCGTGTTAGCCAGGATGGTCTCGATCTCCTGACCTCGTGATCCACCCGTCTCGGCCTCCCAAAGTGCTGGGATTACAGGCTTGAGCCACCGCGCCCGGCCTGTGGTTGGGTGTCTTAAGTTTCATTTATAGTGAGAGCAGACGAGCACCAGTCCTCGGCTGCAGTTGCTAAGGAAGCAGCCGTCACTCCTGCTAACCAGGAGAGTAGGATGTTTGGTGTTTTTGTGGCCTCGTCAGTGTTCATATTTTGCCTGGATTCAGACATGATTTTGCAGTGGTCTTGTTTTTGTCTTCGTCAGTCATGGGTTAATGTAGCCTTATCTGATTTTGGCCTTTTTTTTTTTTTTTTTTTAAGATGGAGTCTCGCACTGTCGCCCAGGCTGGAGTGCAGTGGCGCCATCTCGCTCACTGCAACCTCCACCTCCCAGGTTCAAGAGATTCTCCTGCCTCGGTCTCCCCGAGTAGCTGGGATTACAGGTACCCGCCACCAGGCCTGGCTAAGTTTTTTGTATTTTTGATAGAGACGGTGTTTCACTATGTTGGCCAGGCTGGTCTCTAACTCCTGACCTCGTGATCTGCCCACCTCAGCCTCAGTACCAAACAAGTGTAGGACAGCAATACGATGGAATGCTATTCAGCAATAAAGATAAGACAAGCTGCTAATATAAGTTACATCAGCATGAACCTTGAAAACATTATACAAAGTAAAGCATTATACAAAGTGCTAGGATTACAGGCCTGAGCCACCGCGCCCGACCTTGACATTCTCTGAAATCATTTATGTTCAACAGGAAAACCAGGACTGCTGGGGTGCTAGGCCAGCTGTCACAGCACCAAGGCCAGCTAGTTTTCCACGCGGCTGCTGGAAGTCAGAGACTACTTTTCTCTTTTTACCCAGTACCAGCCA